TAATAAAAACAGTGAAATGTTTTGGTTTGCACATATACACTATTGCCAAAACAGTTTTTTTAATGTTTATCAAAATTGAATGCCTGAAAATATCATTTCAACATTAGATCCCCATGGATAATTGTTAAACACAGAAAATGTAGGGCATTTAATTGGCACACTAACAAACGAACGGCATCACAGAGAATTTGACTTCCGCTTTACAGCAGGCTTTGCCAACCCCTTTCGGCATTTGTCTGGTAAAGGCTCAATCTGCCGAGCTCCTTTGGAATCTGCGCAGTGGCGGGTGGGTCGCCCACCCAGACCATCATCCAGCAGGATAGGAAAACATTACAGCGGCAGATGTTTCGGCTAAGCAGCATTCACCCGTTGCAGGAGCCTGCGTCTGCTGAAATCTCTCCGGCAATCTCAGGGACGCGCCGTGTTGGCTTTCAGCCCACAAGCCTGCGCGCGCATCAACTTTCTTCTGCCCATTTATCTCCGCTGCCACGACAATATGCCAAGCAACCCGATGACCAGCGAGCAGTGCTCACACTGCACCGCATCGTAAAACACCGCAATCTGAAACGTAATAGTAGTAGCATCAATTATAATGAGTAATTAGTCCTTTTTGTTTACCCGAGAAAGCCGATGCTAAGTCTCAGGAAGGCCCTCACTTGGAATATTTGGCTAATTTTTGAATGCGTTTTTTTGCGTGCAGGAGTATCCGCGGTGTCCATAGGCAACCCACAAGTAAGAAGAGATAACACAATTCGCAATGGATAGCTTTCCAGTAACCTACTCATTGAACTGTCTCCAACAGGTCAGGAAGTAACTTTGTAGGTGGAGTTTCGTGCAGATGATAGTGTGTGCATGGTATACCCACATCCCACCTCTAAAGTGCCAGATTAGAGGCGTGTGCCAATACACATCCTGTGTTTGCTTCTGACATGCAAATCCCACAGTCAACTAATACCAGATTAATAGATTGCCTGTTAGTCCCTTCCAATGAAACTTTGTTCTGCAATGTAAACAGCACATTATTATTTGCCGAGACACAGCCTGGAATATCCTTTAACAGTTAAATTCTCCATCATCGTTTTACTCTTAACCACTTCAAAGATGAATTTTCTCTGCATCACTACAATTCCATATTTATCTACCTGGGGTTGATGCAATGAGTCAAACACATTTTGGAAAGTAAGCATTGGTTGCCCGAAGGGGAGAAGGGCCTCTGCCACAGTAATGTAGAATTTACACCACTGGTTCAAGATCAGTTAAGGAAACAAACACTGACCCACTGCTCATATGAGCTGCGAGAACACTGACTTTTTATCATTTCACTTAGCCTCTGTCACAGAACTGTGGAATTTCCACCACTGGCTCAAGGTCGGCAATAAAGCTGAATACTGCCCAACAGTCCTTTAGGTGTGACAACATAAAAACGCTTCTGATTTGCCAATAACTAACCCGATACCATGACCCGAACCTGCATATTGGTGTTGGGTTCGGCCGGTCTATTGACACAGGGCACAGGCGAGTGACTGCGGATTTCCGAGCTAGGCCAAGAGCCACAATTTATTTAAACCCACAACACGTACAGTGCATATGCCTCAGTAGAGAGGGGTGGGCATGGGCGCTCAATCACCAGCCGGGCATGAGGAGCCCGTGCCCTCGATTGTCGCGTGCAAGTTTCTTTGCCGCCAGGGGCACAACGCTGCATTGTAACGCGAGCGTAAATCCCTTCGAGGTCCCCCCAGCTCCCAACTACCCCCTTTTATCCATGCATTCACTGGCGGCGGGATAAAATGTGGGTCCAAGACAGGCCTTGCATTAAATCTGTTTACCTGCATTCCCAATGTAGGTGGTGATTCACTCGACTTAAGATTGGTTTTGCTAAACGAGTTTGTGACCCGTGGCTTTTCTCTTGCCTTGCGCTGCTAAGTGTCACAGCGAATTCATGATTGATATTCACCTGATTTGCGTCCATTTATGAGTCAAAGCATCTCCCAGCTCAAATAACTAAGCACACGTTCATATACAAGTGTGAGGATTATGGACCATACTTTTCTATGCTGGTCAGTGCGGGTTGGGGAGCATAGAACAATACAACAACAGTAAGATGTTGGTGCATTGTTCTCCGATGACAACGTATTCCCACAGCAGCCACCGATACCTGCATTATGCACGGTGGTCACCCATCTAAGCACTATCCATGTTCAACTCCGATTAACTTATGTGATCTGGGAGAATGGAGATACGCTAGGCGATTTGTTCAAACGAGTATGGGACAGCATATTAATAAATTCCACATTCCAATGACAGGTGCCAGTCTAACTATAGGACAACCACAGGTTAACTTCCAAAAGACTTGACAGGAATTAATTACCAAAGCATTATAAGCCGCATTGCTACATTTACTGCTTATTCTGGTGCTTTGTAATCGCATGTCTGTACTGTATTCCTATACACATATGCCAACATAATTCAAATAACAAATGGAGCGTGGCGTATAATAAACATCACGAGAGATATGTGAAGCGTACTATAGAATACTTGCCAAAAAATCAAAACACACCGCACAATGACAAAAAACTGCCCAGACATATCATATGGAATGTATCTTTAAGCTCACTACTGGAGCTGAATTAATGCAAACTCTGTATGAGTGACAGGAGTGGTCGCACACTCCATTGATTTTTCTTCAGAAAAAAAACGTGGGTTATGGTAGCGTACTACATGATATACGTATACCAACGTTTGTGCGCACACGAGTACTGTAAATATGCACGTGCGGAAACGTACAAGTGCACGTATACATTTATACAATACACAGTAAATGTGCTACTTCTGCACCTGTCAACCCATACGTTTTACCCCACATCCTTATACAGGGAAATGTAGTTTTTAGCTCCATACGGCATACAGCCGTTTCAGTATGAGCAAGAAAATGTGTCTATTTGTTTGTGTTTCTCCCTTGTGATGGGATTGTAGGATGGACGTTGAGATTTATAAGGGCAGGGGGTGACCAGTAAGGTCTGAATTAGTCTGTAATAAGGTAGGACACTGATAAAGGGCTGACAGGTCTGTACTTATGTGTACACGGTAATGTTTGCAAGATACAGAATTTGACCGTTGATTGCGTATATGTACACAAACGTGCTAAAACCATTAATTTATACAATTATGCAAAAATGCATACCCCAGTCAATAGACATTTCATCCTATTTAAGTGTACAATGTACAAACAAAAGCCCACGAATCTGCATATGTTAATTGTATGCACGCATAAAAATCGTAAATAATCGTATTTATGTGGGGTGGTGGTGGGTTTAACGACACATTTATATTAACGCGATATAGCCCAAAAACCTCTGTTATGGATAATATTGGTTGCAAAAAGCCGACTACGTGTGACACTATGTATGCAGACCACACATCACAAGTGTACAAATTGAAAGCATGCAATCAACACTTATAATACTCACAACATAAACTTCCATCACTATATACCCCCCACTAAGGCTGCACTAAAGTACATTTTACGATTCATGAACACGACGCGAGTGTACCCAAACACAGTTTGTATGCACAAATATAGATTCCCCAATACCGTTATAACATTTAACACGCTCTCTCAATAAGCCACTGAATGAGTCTCCCTCGCGACGTGTCACACGTCGGCGATGGGGGGTCGGGGTTGTTTAACCAGACTTCGCCAATTAACCATACTTCACCAATTAACCGTACTTCACCAATTAACCATACTTCACCAATCGAACTCAGGTGCCAAGCTTCGTACAGCAGTGCACCGTGCAGAACGTACACGTGATTCTACATAAGGACATACGAGTACACAAATCTGCAACTTCACAGTGACGGTACGACATTAATATGTTCGGGAATATACGGCAGAGTGCACAAATTCCTGTCCGTGTGAGCTTAACGCAAGTCAAAAAAAAACCTTTAACGCTGACGAAAGATCATTAAATCTCTCCCATTGCAGTGTGGCAGTCCGATTTCCTCTTTAGGTGGCGTTGACGAATACAGTATTGATATTTTAAAAGCACTGCTTCACTGCCAACGCAGTATCAACACCACAACAACGACGACGACAAATCAGAGGAGTAACCCAGGGCGCTGCTCATCTCCGCAACGACGGCAATTCCACATTCCTATGGCCCGTAGGCGGGGCTCCTACAGACCGTAGGTACACCGCTCTCGCAGGGCACAGAGCCCCTCCGCCGCATGCCGCAACACATGCAACAGTACACACGTCGGCAAAATCATAACCAACGCGGTTCGAGACTCCCCCCCCCGAGTGTGGAGGACGAGGAGGATCACACGGAGGCGCACGTGCAGCAACAGCAACACAAACCCTGCCAGACTCGGTGCTAAAGCGCAATGATCAGTGGGGGCCCATCCAGCAGCAGCAGCAGATTCGTCGTTACACAAGGCACGAGACGAAGCGTGCCGAGGCAACGCACAAACTCCGCAACTCTTCACACGCCGGAGGCGGAACGTTGTACTGCCATCAGCTGTTATTCGACCGAGATTACGGTCGTGGCATAAGCATCGCTCGCATAAAATTTGGTTGAGTGTCCGGTGACTGCCCCCAGACACCAGTTTGAATAAGCGACGCTCGCGAGGCAAACGAGAAGCTTCAAGTCACTGCGAGGCGACTACGTTACAGCAATCTGCGGACGCAGCCTGCACCGGCAGATTAAACCGCAAGTAGATTAAGTGGATCGAGTACCACTAACGAAGCTACTGCCCCTGACCCCCCTCCTCCTCCTCCTCCCGGCAACTTTAAAGAGTATGTTTTTAAAATTTCGTTCACGAGGTTTTTTTTTAAATTAAACTCGCGTGCGTACAAGAGCGCGGAGCGTGCGCGTTTGGACGCACGCAGGGGACAGGGAACCGACGGTCAAAAATGTAATACAAATCAGTGCCGGACGACGTGAAAACACCACAACGCAGTCCCAACATCACGGAGAGGCCTAAAGAGAGAGAACACCGACCTCGACTAGATCCACTTGCCCGGACGTCTTCGGGTCGCGCCGGACGCCGCCCCACCCCCTCGCCACCCCCGCCGCCGTCCAAGCCTCGGCGAACGCCGATTTCGAGGCGCCGTCTCGCAGACCGCGGCTCGAGTCCCGTCCCTTGGGCTAGCGGATTTAGGAGGGAGCGTTGAGTCAACTGGCGGTGGTGGTGGTGGTGGTCGCGACTACACCGCAGTTGTTTTTTTTTTAACGGAGCTCAAACCCAGCCGCTCCGACTGCCTCACGCGAGCGAGCGCGGTCGGACAAGCGCCGCCGCCGTGACGTCACCCGTGTGTGAGCAAAGCGGGGGGAGTGGAGGGGAGGGCTCAGGCTGACGTCACTCGGGCGGAGCTACCGAAAAAGACGTCATGTAACTCCCCTCATCCAACCCCCCCCCGCCCACCAAACGACCCCTCCCCCCCCACCTTAATCGTGTGAGATGACGTCATGCGCCCGCGGAGTTGTTGTGTAACGGTTTTTTTACCAACGAGCGGCCGTCACCCACCCGGGGCAATTCGCGGCGGCAACGTCACGCGCCCGGGTCGGGTACGTCACCGGAGCCGTGTCAATTTGTCGTGACGTCACAATTATCGGCGGCTTAAATTGTCGTACGCCATGCGTGATAATCGTCGGAGTAAACATTAGCACAAGTAAATGAAACAACGAATTCATGTTTTTGTACAACAAATAACCGCGTTTTTTCGTGATTTTTGTTTTATGTGAACGGTAATGTTTAACAAACGCCAATGCGTTTAAATAAGCAACTATTTATTTGTAACTAAAGACAGTGCAGCAAACTTTATTGTTGAACTGCGCTTGATTGGGAAATTCACTAACCCCATCACTCACCAGCGTGGTGAAGTATGGTCAAATAAATAACCGCCATGACCTTGCGCAGTTTGGAGACGCCCCTCATCCAACAAATTGTGTTTGGTATGAAACGGTTTAAATTTGTAATTATCTTGAAAAAAACTATCCACTTATCAGTTTGCTTTGTAAATAATTACGACACTTATAACGTAAACAATATTTCACAGACATAAAACTATAAACCCAACTACATTTATTTAACTAGGTAATGCCCACTGAGCTGTTTCGCTCTTCTTCAGAAGCGACCTGGCTATCACAAATGATAAGCTCAACGAAGTGGCTTATCATCACGTGGGAATGTATAACAACCAAATACTCTAAACGCATGTTTATAAATGTAGAGGGAAAAACAGGAGAACCCAGATGGAAATCCACGCGACCACGGGGAGAGAGACACCACGAACTCCAAATATAAAGCAGGCGTCAGGGTCAGGATCGAACCCACGACTTCCTGCATACCAGGCGAGGCAGGTAACATCTCGCCAACGTGCCGTCCAATAACAGTGGAGCAAGCGGCGGAAGGCGAGGGAATTGAGCCGAGGCTGGGAGGCGCCGAGGACGACGCGGCCGAGATGGTGGTTGCGACCGTTGGAAAGTTTATCGAGGTTACTCGATGGAGATCGAACCTTAGACAGAGTTGTAGAAGTAAAGTCGAGGTTGTGAGTTCAAATCCCAATGGACAAAGAGCCCTGAGTTGTAAGTTGCAAGATCTGATTACGTGGATGGTGTCGCTATCAAAGGATATGATCCATTGAGTCGAGAGTCAGAATCAGAACATCTATTTATACTGGAGGAATCCGATGAGCTATAACGCTCTTTTTCACAGATGTCCAATACGGGGCTGGTCACAACGTTACGTCCGAACGAGAGTGACGTCGAGCAAGGTGATGTGATTGCAGGAATGGACGGTGGATCCAGCGATTGATATGCTAGAAGGAAGTGTTGTGCTGCGGTAGTTATATTTATGTCACCGTGTAATGTTATTGATAGTTAATAGTAGCCGTGATTGTACGTGGCTTGCATGGTTTTGATGAATTCCCCTGTCAGGTTGGCATCTTCCCTACTCTACAATGAACAGCGTGGTGAAGTATGGTCACAAACCCCCAAATAAATGTCACAACAACCAGGGTCCTCCAGTCCCTAGGAGCTCTGGTGTCATCAACCGTGACATCTGCTGGATTGGTGAAGGATGTTCCAGACGTCACATGCGATGAAGTAACCACTGCCCTTCACTGTGGTGCTCATAACCATGGGCAGCCCTGTGCTCGTGGTGGAAATTCCACATTCCTATAGCAGGGGCCAATCTCTCCATCGGACAGCCACTGTCGATTGCTCACAAATTGGCATGAATTTTGCCCAATCTTTTGCCTCTAATTTCCCAAGATATCGCGTGGGCTTTTTCCTCTTATAAAGCACTGCAAAAGGATAAGGCGAAATGTTTTTTTGGCAGTATAAAATTAAAACACTATATTTTCACATAACAGAGAAAAATATTTTCATTACCAGACTGTAGAATATAATATTCCTAGATTTTAAACGACATACACATTACGAATGATAATACTGCACTTATTCAACCAATGTGTAAAATATATAGGTCCCTTAACAGCCAAATAAAATAAAATGTAGAAAAATAATCCAATTCCCTAAAATGAAACAGCTATCACACGTAAATGTTGCCTGCACATATGTGCCAATTAGCGACTGAAGATGTGAAATCAAATTATATTTTCATGGTAATGACAAATGTAGTGCAGACACTATCTAATTTAATGTAACCGAGACATCATGCTTAAACAATTTAAATCAAATTTCATTATTGCTTTTGGGATGCAATAAAGGTATTTGAATAGTTTCTGTCATTGCTAGGCTTACGTGTGCACCCAGGAACTGCAGTATATAATTTGAATCTGTAACGTTTTACCATACACCTAACAACTTTAATCATCATCACCCATGAGTAATCCACTGCTGGATGAAGGCTTTCGCAGCTGACCTCATCACCCCATCCCTTTGGTGGGCGTCATCTTGGAGTGCCCTCTCCTTTGGCTGCCACTTCATAATTATTCGTGACCATCAGCCATCATCCCTACTCATGACTCATCTCGCCCAAGTCGATCTTGGTGGCGAGATGTTATCTCCCTCGTCTGGTGCATTATGCAGGAGGTCGTGGGTTCGACCCCAGCTCTGACGATGCCTGTTTGTTTCGAGTTTTCATGTTCTCCTCGTGGTCGTGTGGATTTTTCTCCGGGTCCTCCGATTTTTCCCTCCACATTTGGAATCAGCATGCGTTGACATTGTCTGCTATAATATTCCACGTGATAAGCCACCTCGTTGAGCTATCACTTGTGGCCAGGTCGCTTCTGAAAAATAGCTAAAAATAGCTGAGTGGGCTTTACCTGGTCAATAAAAGAGTTTAGTTTTGATATTAATGAAGAGAAACATCAATACTGTATGGAGTCAAAATTCAAAGTGTCTGTCGATTTAAATAATGACATCACGAAGCTTATTTCACCCGGTAGCCCTGTGCTCAGAGTGGTGGAAATTCCATATTCAGAGGGTGGGGGCCGGACTCACCATCGGAAAAGCCACTGTCGAGCACCCAGAAAATGGTATTAATTGTATTTAAATTATAATAGGGGTTTTCCCCTTTTTTCTGGCAACAAAACTCAAACCTTTTTACAAGGATTCATGTCTGCATTAACCACAATACCTGCAGTCAAAATGCAAACAAAAAAACATACTATAATAATATATGCATTGTCCTTGAAACTGATTGGTCCACACCAAGGGACGGCTTTCTTTTGAGCCTCGACCCAATTGGTGCTCGACCAGATGACGCCAAAAGGGGGAAAACCCTAATATTATATTTTAGTACTGGCAAAAGAGGTCTAATGATGTATTTCAATTCTATGAAGGAATGGTGCTCTGTTTAAACCCCCAAGTATGATATAAATTGACTACCTTCTGACTGTGAGATAAGTGGTCTAATCACACAGGCATCCAGCTGGATTCGGCATTATTAGTGGTGTGCAACTCATTTTAATTAGATTCTGCAAAACAATTATTTTGGCAATGCAGTGGAGAGTCGTAGATTTTGTTGGGGGCAGACATCCTCAACCCGAGCCATCGCTCTTTGCAAGAGATGCCTTGGTGGTAGGTGTTCTTGTTTAGTTGACATAGTTTAAACCGAAGTCCCGTTATTTTTTTCCTGTGGACATTACAGATCACTGTGGACTTCTTAAGATCTTCAATAAACAGCAAGCGTGATAATCCCCGTATCCAGCTAAAACCCCACTACAAATCAATGAAGTATTTGGCTTGGCCAAATTCCTACCCCATCTGGCTAATTCCCAGAAAATCAATTACATCCCTGTGGGGCATGAAGGGCTCTGAAAACAAGCTCTAACCATCATACATTTGTTTCACATTTCACGTAATTACACGACATTCAAAATACTCTCTGTAAAATGTTGTCAGGTTGCACTGTGGTAAGAGCGATTGACAAACAAAGCAGTCAATTGATCCTATCCACCCATTCATCGTCGTCGTCATCATAAGCCATTATCCATCCACTGCTAGATGAAGACCTCCCCAGATCATCATAAACTATTCTCATTGCTCCATCTACACGACGGCCGTAATCTCGGGGATATTCCCTCCCTCGGTTGCTATTTCATTGCCAGTCCTGTTTATCAGCTATTGGACAGTTCGCGTAAAAAAAATACTAATAGTTCACGGAGAAAGTTAATTTTCGATGGTGATAAGCAACAGATTGAAATACCGAGAAAAGCAAATTGATTAAATGGATGTCATCACTTTAAATAATGAGATGACTGCTATTGTAGTGGATAGTGCGTCGAGAATGAGTGGTTTCAAAGTTATCTAAAAGCGCACGAAGCACATTGAAGAAGAGCCGAGGTATGGAGAGCCATGAAAATGCCAAATAAAACATAACATTCAAAGAACTCTGTACCGTCCCTCTCGGGCCAATAGAATTGGTAACTTTGTGAAAAGTCAGCGGTGGTTGCCCGATAGGGAACCTGGTCCCCATCATAGGAATGTGGAATTTCCACCACTGACTAAGGGCCAAAACTTCATGTAATACATGTTTGGAAAAACACAGAAACAATAAATGATCAACATCTTAGTAACCGTTATGTATTAATGCACAATTCACAACACCGGTCTCAATGTGCAAGATTATATATTTTTTAAACATTTTCAAATTAATATAATGTGAAGCTAGGATGTCATTTACGAGACAAAATATGCATTGAATATAAAACCACTCAAAGTAACTACTGTCTTGCAAAATAAATTAACTCGGATGGGTGCAAAACCGAGATTTCCAAAAACACATCTAAAACGATAAAAAGCAACAAGAGTGAAAACAACAATTCAACAATAATCGCCGTCATCAATCGCAGTCCCCACGTGCCGCCTGCCGAGCCCGCCGAGTGTCCTGAGCGCGCCGCCACGCTGAGCGCAGTCCGAGACGTCAGCCTGGACGGAGGCCGTGCGTCCACG